GGGCTGCTAACACCATGCAGACCGAGCACAAGAAGATTCTCAACTACGTCAAAGACCACTATGACGCTATGTATAGCAGGACTAGAATGTTTCTTGTTACTTCGTTGAGAGGCTGGGCCAGAGCACGTAGTCATGCCTCAATACGTATCATACAGATGATGCTCCGGTGCTGGGTTGTCTTCATCTCCTATTTGAGTCTTCCAGCAATTAGATGAGTCACACAATGACAGCAACAGCATCAAAATTATATTGAAGGCCAGGAATTATGTCCTGACACCAAACTTCTATGAAATTACTCACCTTTGTTCAGGATAAATTGGTTCGGTGGCAGACGACAGGATGAGGACCACGAGGAGTACGACCAGCGACTTTCGAACAAGTTGCAGGAGAACATTGAAACTCAGAAAAAGTGGCCGAAGTGGTCTGCGATCCCTCTGTGGGTCCGACAAGTGGACGGCGAAACGGTGCAGACCTACGTAAGATTGCAGTTGCAGAAGGTGCGGTCTTCAGGGGATCCGCCGAGCAACCAGCAGGCACCGAACAGCAGTTCGTCGTCTGGGGACACGAGTGGCAGTTCCCGCGGTAACGGTGCTAACTTCAACGCAACCCAGGGATACCAGGCACAGGTCCAAACATCCCCCGTAACTGTCAAAGAGACGGCTGAGGAGATTTCGCTGCGGTATCCCACAGAAAAAAGCTGGCAGGTCACATTTGTACTGAAAAAATAAATACACAAAAAATCTGCGCTGCGTATCCTAAACAGCATACTATGAGGCCGCCCATGACAGATTTTTCTGTGTTTTCATTTTTGCATTACACATATGCCCTGCCAGCTTTTTTCTGTGGGATATGCGGGCTTCGGGGGTCATGAAGGATTTGATCGAAAACGGAGCGATCATGCCCGCGGTTCAATTTGGCATCGGGCAGTTGAGCAAAAAAATGTGGCAGTCGTGGGACGACAAGGTCGATAATGAACTCCAAATCTTTCGATCAAAAACGCATCAGGCAATGGCGTTCAGCGGCAAGCCGGCGGCCCGGGCGCTTGTCGCCACGGTGCGTGATGCGGAACGCACCGCGATACTGGCAAAGTTCTCACCAAAGGAGCAGGCCAAGGTGAGGAAGATGCTGCTGCAGCAGGACCTGGACTCGGCGATGGATGCCGCGGGAGCCCTGGACCGCGGGGAGCCGGCGAGCCTCCACCACATCGGTGCGCTCACTGAAACGCTGCAGCAGCCCGTCGTGCTCCGCGACGAGAACCAGAATGTGCTCACCACCATCGGCAAGGGCCTCCCTGGTGCTCCGTGCAACGTCACGTATTATAAGGGCGAAAACGGCAAACCCGGACACTACGTGGCGACGAATGCAGCCGTGGGGGACGGGTACACCTCCCCCGGGAAGCCTACCGGGAAAAATGCTTGCTTGTTCAATGCAGTGGCCGCGCAAGTGTATGGGGATCAGGGCAGAGGCGCACAATTGCGGGCCAAGACGGCTGCTCACATTCGGAACAACCCCCAGCGGCTCATGACAATTGCCAGTTCGATTCGCCGACACAACTTTTACAAGGGCGGCGCGCCGTCACTGATTCCAGATCCAGGGGGTGCCCCTTTTTGGCACCCAAATCAAGATATGCTGAATGCAGTCGCAGACCACATTCAAGCTCAAGGCGAGCCACGTCCAGATCCGGCAGATCTGGATATGCACTGGAATCTCCAGCCGCACTGGGATCCGCACTTTACACTGCGTGTAGGCGATCAGCGATTCGTGTATGGTGTTCCTCGTTATGCCCCGCCTGGTACCCTTCCACAGGTTCGCGATGCGCCGGAGACACCAATTGCGAAAGCGGCTAATCATCTTTACAAAGCTTATGCGGTTGCAACGAAAACAAACAGTTTTGTCTCGGTGACACAAAAAGCGGCTCCGCCTCCAAAAATAAGTTTTAAAGCGGCGCAAGCTGGACTTCAGTTTCTTGCAAAGACATCGTTTCCTATGGCGAAGAATGCTATAGCTTTGACGAGTGGCCAAGCAAAAGCCAACGAGTTTGCGAAATATGGGGACCTTATGATGCCAGGTAACGTGGTCTGTGTGCGTAATACGTTTTCCAGTACTCCAAAAAACGGCGGAAACACCCATGCGGCTCGTGCGCAATTCGCCGAACAGCACAATCGTCCTGTACCTCCACCGAACTTCATCAATAATTTTTTAGATGATCCCCCTTTGGGAGCAGGACCACCGCCGAAGCCGAAGGGCCCCGCCTGGGGCGTCGCAAAGGCGAAGGGAGCACAACCGGCTACTGTGGCAAAGGCAAAGGGAGCACAACCTGCCTGGCCAGCTCAACCGTGAGGTCTAGCGAGTCGTCGCGAACATTGTATTACAGTGCCTTCTCACAGGATCTCTGTCATTGCGCTCCAACTTGAATCATTGCAGCAAAGCAAGGAGGTACTTAATGTGTGCGCGATCACACGAGCATCTTGATCTTCCGTGCCTTTTATATGAAAAATGGTGTTGAAGTCGCCACATCTTTTCGTCACAACGTCTATAGCGTAACGTCTGTCCTGTTATCAGCGTAGTCCCCACGTCCCAGCACCGCGGCCGACGCAGCAAGGGTTTATGGGGTTTGAGGGTTCTGGTTTGAGGTTCCTAATTTGATCTTATCAAATTTGATCTTATCATAGCCTATATTGCGAAAGATGGCGCTATAAAGGTTTCGTGCGATACAGACGCGCAGCAGATTCAGCAAGTAAACCAAAAAGAAATATCAGAGGACTTTATTTCTCACGCGTCGAATTACTCGTTTTTTATGTATGATTTAGCCGTTTACATTAACTCTCGCAGCTCTATGTAACTGCAACAGTGGAGATGATCAGAGGCACTAAAACTAAATACGCCATGAAAGTTGTACTGCAACATGTAAAAAGTGCAGTCAACATAAAGCTCACAGGTCATTACTTAGTTCATTTTCAGAAAAATCGATCGGCTATACTCCCGTTCGCTCTTTGAGATATGCAATACTATCAAAAAGCAAAAGATACACACTGTCAATACCTCCTTCTTCACATGATTATACATTTTTGTTGTCATCAACACCAACAGTATGAATAGGCGAATGTATTGTGATCATCGGAGGCTGATATTGTAGCACTATTTCTGGCCATTCATATTCATCGCATTGTTTCATTTACGTGGAAAATACAAGTCGTGGAAAATAAAGAAAAAACGCAATAGATGGCTGGTTCGAAGCGACGGCGTGATGTATGATTTTTTTTCCTACGAGGGTGACATTATTGGTTTCGGTACTATTCATTTATCGTCCGTCGTTTTAGACACCATTATTTGGTACTTGTAGAATTCAAAAGAATACAGCCCAGAATCAACGATACCAGTGAGCGCCCCCAACAAGCGACACTCGAATTTCGAATCCCGACCAAAGTATTGATTCCAATATTTGCCTCGGGTTGTTCCGCTTCACATGAGAACCCAGATCCCAAGGACACCCTCAAATACATGGAAACGTCGATGAAATGTGGAAGCTGAAGAAGATCCTCGCAAATCGATTTTCCTTGAAATTCTTGAAAATCCATGCAGGCGTCACAGCTGTTTATCCCTGTTCCAACGCATGCTCCTTCTCGTTCGCAGATGCGAGGTATCAAATCGAATGCTAGATCATATCCATGTGGACTATTGTGGATCAATAAGATTGGTAAATATTAGAAAATCCGACCCATCGGGTGTTTCACCCATTCACAGATGTACAAGCACCGCGCCAGTCAGTAAAATCCCTCTTAGCTTCGTATGTTGACATTGATTCCTTTAGCTGTATCATTTTAGTGTTCGTTCCTTTCTTGACGGTATTTTTCATTGACTCGACTACATCGAAATAAATTACTGAAACAAAGGGCCGACCAGGCCAAAATAATTAAACCAAAGCTGACGAGTACATGAGGTGGTTCTCCAAACGCGACAAAAGTTCCAACGAGAATAAACTTTAATTGATAACAATGGCACACTTTCTCGCTCCGAGCTCGCATGGCACAGAGTATCGCAGATGCCAAGAGGATCCAGTGGCGCAGTTGTCCACTCTGACCCTAACTGATCTGGGAGGGAACAGTTTATGTCGCATTGACCTGCCTTTAAACCAAGACTGCATTCTCTTACGGACTGTGAAGCGTCACCTCGCGGCTGCCCGCGGCCAAGACCCTTCCTTCCTGTTGGGCCAAGGAGTTGTTTTGGAGCGGAAGACTTTTCTAGCAGTCGTTAACGCGAACAAAAGTGTCATTCCAGTAGCATCATCCTCTTCTCCGCTCGAACAGCCGACGACGGAGGGCGAAGCTCGTGTTGAGCCAGGTCTCACATCGCCAAAAAGACAAGGAGCTTTTTCAGACAGAGCTGCAGATGCCGGACCGCGTGCAATCAGTCATGTTGCAGCTTCCGTTGATACATCCGCATGCACAGCAACGGAGGCCCGCTTAGAGCCGGAGGACGAGGAAAAGTGTATTGTCCGGGACGGACGGTTTCCTATCCCTCTCTGGACAACTGACGGGGCGCGTGTTCGTGAGATCCAGGCCGTCTTTGATAATCGAGTGGAAAAGGCTTTTTCATTCGCCAGAGGATGCCTTCAGATGAATTCCGCAGATGTACAGCAACAGTTTTTACAAGATTCCGAACTGCAGTCATCATGTCCGAGTGTGACTGATCTCACAGTTGTTGTCCACTCAGACGCACTGGAAGGTCCGTGGGATGACCGCGATCTGCCGTCTGATATCGACATGATGCATTTTCGCGGATGTTGCTGCAACCTCGGAGATCCGAGTATAGAGGGAGGGACTCTGTGCCTTCATAAAATATTGCAGGACTTGTATCCGCCGGGTTTCGACACCACATTTGGGACGTGTGACTTCGAATTCCGTGAAGCTTTGGTGAAAGAGGCGGTAGAACCATCCGTGCGTTGGGACCCTTACACGAATCCTCAGCTGATTCAGATGGGAAGCACGGCATCACTCTTCCGTTCGAGCAAGGATCTCTGCATGCTTGCCTGCGAAATCAACGGGCTCACACTGCGATACGCAACGCCACAGCTACGGAACGACGCAGATCTTGTCCGAGTTGCTGTTGCAGCGGATTGGCGGTCCTTGCGATTTGCTAGCGGGCACATCAGGTCCTCCCTGACCTACGAAGATATTGCGCTCTGTGCCATACGGCAAAACGGATGGGCATACAAGTATCTTCGTGGCGAACTTCGCCACCGCCATCCGCTCATCAAGTTGGCAATCGGACACAAGCCGTGGTGCCTGCGCTACGTGCCAGTGGAGCATCACGCGGCAATCGACTTAATTTCATCTGCTGCAGAGATAGACGGCGTTCCCGCTCTCAAATTCTGTGCGCATCATATTCAAACTGAAGAACTGGTGAAAGCAGCAGTCGTGTCAAACGGGCTTGCGCTGAAGTACTGCGCGCCAGAACTTATCAGCCGACTCGTAGTTGAGCTAGCGTTGCAGCAAAACCCTTATGCGCTCCGCTTCGTCAATGATATCAATCTACGCAACGAGGCCGAGCTGCTGCTGAAACTTCTCGACGGGCCGAGTCCGATGTTGCGGACCAACTGGCACCATTGTACAGACCATCCTGAGTCGGCGCTTCAGTTGGTGGACGTGCAGGGACGGAACGATGAATCAAAAGCAAAACAAGGGCACACAAAACCGACATTGTTCAGCTCTCCCCACCACGGCGACTGCCAAAACGGAGTAGTTCGCAGTACGGAAGCAGACTGTGCCCCTTTGCGCATTCAGGGATCACAGTCTACAGGAAGCAGCCTTGTTCCTCCGTGCCCGTGGACGCACCCATGTAGATGTTCCACGTGTCAACTAAGCCGTATGAAACTCGACCGCACTCCGGCCAGGTTCTCGAAATGTTATCAAGCTAGCAATGATGAGACAGTCCGTCGGTATGCTTGCCTGTTGCAGCGCTACATCCAAGTATCTGACTTCTGCGGCGATGGGGAGCACATCTGCAACGCGGTGTGCCGACAGGAAAGCCACCGCTACCCCACTACCGACATCTTCAATGAAGATAACCTCGTCCTCTTGCACAATTTCGAGAACCTGCAGGAGGAAGACTTCGACTCGGTTCCAGAGGATCTTCCGACTCTGATTCTGCAAAACCTCCCTGCAGAGCATGCTGTTCGAGATAACGCGGAAATCATCCGTCGGTGTGTCCGCCTTGACGCCCTTTCGCTTGAGCACGCCAGTCCGCGACTTCGATCCGACCGCGGTCTCGTCAAAGAAGCGGTTGCTCAAAATCACGACTCGTTTCTTTTTGCCGGAGACGAACTCCGTCGGGATCCGGAATTCGTTGTGGAACTCATGGAACAAGGATGCGCTGAAATTTTTTGGAATGCCGATAAGGAGGCCGTACAAGATCTGTTGCTCTGGGGAAACGGTGCGCCAGAGGTCTCTTTGCGGGCTTTTTGCGCGTGGCCTTGTTTATTAGAATTTGCGAAGCCGGAGTTCAAGCAAGACAGCTTTCTTGTCGAGTCGGTTTTGGCAATCGACGGCGAAGCGCTGGAGTTCGTGGACGTTTCTTGTCGGCGCACGAAGCACTTCGTCCACACGGCCATGAGAGCAGGAGGCTTCTTGGATCATGCCGACAAGGCATTCCACGACGATGCCCATTACGAAAATTCTCTTGATGTTGTCCTGTCATTGCATGCATTCTAATTCTTCTTGGGTCGTTACATCATTATATCAAGCTTTGCATCTGAGGATAATAAGTTGGTAGACAGGTACAGGAAAAATTCAGTTGAAAACTACGGACCCAGATCGTGATATGGACGCTGTTGAGAGACGTGTCTATATGCATTTGCAACGCAACTGCGCACCTACAATAGTGTACTTATTTTCCTCACAGTTAACGTGGTATAGTGCTTTTTTTCTCCAAACAGGATGCAAAGACAGAGTTTTTTTTTGGATGAGAAACTGATACGGGAGCAAATAATTTCCAATGCAGCGAAATTCAATGACTTACCGCGAGACGGCAAGTTGGTGCTTACGACTCGCCTTCAGCCCTACTGGGAACGGTTGATGAGCAGGAAACCGAGCAAATACTGCAGGGACGCAATCCTGTTGGAAGCTGCCGTGCGCCTCGGCATCGCAGCCTTGGAAAACATTCCCCTCGATCTTCCCCAAGATCTATTCCCGGGAATCGTTCATAATATATGCAAACAAATACGGTTCACAAGGGGTCTTCAACACGGCTATACCGTGGCAAAGCAACTCACCGACATTCCGCCCGCGATGCAGGACGATCCATTGGTTCAATGCGAATTTTACGTTGAAGCGGTGGCACGTCGGGGTCGAAACCTCGAACGAGAAACGATCCTGATTGGACTGGTCACGACGCAAGCATTTTGTCACTCATTTTTTGTTTACATGGAGCTCGAGGATGAAGACTCCATGTTCTATTCGTCGAAGGAAGCTGCTGAAGAGTACGCACTTTTCACACTCCAGCAGGCTCCGTGGGGTGCAGAAGTTTACTTTTTGTTTCCCCGTGCCGTTCGTGAGTGCTCCACAATTCAAGATGCTTTTTTCACTCTGTGTGGCGAGCCGCTGGAAATCGGAAACTTGGTCGGGTTCGCTTTGATGCATTGCACTGAGCTTGCAAGAAACCGGTGTACGAAATCAAACGGAGCGTGGTCTACGTACGAGCGAAGCCGTAAAAGCGCGGTTCCAGAAGTTACGTGGAACGCGGGTGGGCTTCACAGCCCACTTGAGCAATATCTCAGATTACGACTGCCCTCGTGCCACAAGAGCCCTGAGAAAAATGCGCTTCTTAGCACAGCGGAAGCGCGTAGAAACAGACTGGCTGCGCCACCATTTCCCTAGCCCCAGTCTTTTTCAAACCTATGTGGAATCAAGACAAACGAACAAGAACGCAGACCACTGTTAGGCGAAGAAGAGTAGTTCACAGCAAGGCGATTCCGGTATGCTGGATGAAAGCTCACTATTGAAAATAAGATGTGTGTAGCGTCTTCCTAAGACCTTGTCTTGCGCAATACCAGTCTGCACTCACAGCTCCTTTCGATTCCGCCAAACGGCACAATGAGTTGGCGTTTCCGCAAGTACACGTGCAAGGTACGTATGTGTAATAAGCGGACGTGGATAATTTCCCTTTTTTGACTACTCAAACCGAAACCTGACACTGACTCTTAGCGTCTCTCCTGTATGATGATCATAGTGTAAAACGCAATAAAGAAGCAAGGCGGAGCTAGCAAACTACGCAGGTGAATGTGGATAATTTCGATATGACCACAAAATAAACTTTATTCAAGCGTGAATCTCGTCTCACTCTTGCTTTACCTGCAGGGGCTTCGTCTGAACGGGCTGCTGAGCAGTGCCTGGCATTTTTCTGCCACGTTCGTCATAGGGCTACACACTGAGGAACACGATGGCGTTCTATCACTAATTGGATTCTGAGGTGTCTTGCCTACAACCCTCTTCGGTGACACGGTATGTTTGTGGCTCTGTATGTAGAGGATCTGAGAAGTACCGGTGGCGCTATGTTTCATATAAAAAGGCACAAAAGGAAAAGATGCAAACCCGAGGTCAGATAAAAAGGTCGGACAGCATCAGTAATTACGCTCACCAAAAATGACTAGAAATTATAATTAAAGTAACATTTATTTTCGGCATTTTTACCGATCATGAGCAGGGAAGGTTGATGCATTTACTATGCAAGCCCAGGAGTTGCATTTGGAGCACCATTTCATTCGTATAAATTCATTTGCTAATGAATGTATTACTGTAATCATGTTGATAATGAGCGCTACCATGGAGCGCGCCGCTGCTCCTCCGAAGATCCTTAACTGACTCCGCTGTCATCTGCAATTGCTTCGCATCATCAGAGATCCATCGGACACGGAATAAAGGAAAGCTCCCTCCGCGAAAAATAGCACCTACTAACTTGGGTAGCCACGACAGCGCAAGATGGAGCTGTCCGCGCCGAGATCAGGATCATCAATTTTTGTGATGTCAATTATAGGCTGCTTTAGATAATCAAAGCACTCGCCGATGTTGCACAACGAACAAGACACAATTGCAACACAATTGCTGTCAGCGACCAAGTACTGAGTCACGGGAGCAGGCACCTTGATCGCGTGATGAGTTGTCGCAGGCACAAACGGTCGGCATTTCGTTGCAGGCGCATCGATGCTGTAGCGATTTCTGGTAGTTCATGATCACAAGGAAGATCTCTACCTCTCCTGCCGCTTGCAGCGATGTGATTATTTTCGCGGCATTGGTGGATATCTATGAAAAAAACACACTTGAAATTTTTGCAATCATTCCATGGCATTTCAGGTCCCGCCGCTTTTCCACCTGCCTGGTTCTGTCATCTTTATGACTTACTCTCATATTTATGGAGGTACACAACGCTAGATAGTGTAGTCTCGAAAAGTCTTCTTGAGGTGTTTGTCTTCGATCCTTCTCCGATCTTCCTGAGTTTAGGATGGCAGGTAGAATTTTTTTTATTTTTGTTTAAACCATCTGCCCCAGACGTGAATTGGAAAGGGGCAGGACTGCCTAGTGTTCTTGAAACTCAGCATATTAATGAATACTTGTCTGTTGCCATTTGTCGTGGTATGTGGGGGGACAAAAAAAGTGCGCATCTTATCAAATATAACGTGGAGATATCGCTCTATAGCTTGTTTATTTCTTCAAAAGAAAAACGACAATGCCGACGCTTTGCAGTCGGAAGAAGTTTGCCGCAGTGATGGTTTGCCTGCACCAATATTGTCACGCCGGTCAGCCACAACAAAAGTGCTGGCCTCTTCCAAATAAGTCGTTGCCAGTCCAGCGAGCAGAGTGCTGCGCGGACGACTCCGACGGGGAGACGAGGGGACACAGCTGCGCCGCCGACCTGGAAGAGGGTGCCCCGCCGGAGGAATCGGACAACGGCTGGAGAATGGCGGTGAACGGCTCAGGCGGCGGCTCAGCCAGCAAGAGTGGGGCCGAGCCAATTGCTCAGGAGAGCGAGGCTCTTCAGACGTCGAACAGAGCAGTGACTCCAGAAGAGCGAAACCGTCTGGAAATCGAAAACTCGTACCGCAACGAAGAGAGCGTGGGCCGGTGTCTCCAGCAAGCGGGGGCCGAGCGTGGTTTGGCTGCAAAGAAAAGATCCGATGAAAAAACACAGCAAGTGAGAGTGAGGCATGAAACGCTGTATAATTCAGAAAAGAATGAAAGCACCGATATAGAGGCAGAACTAAAACAGCAAAGCGAAAGAGAAGAGGACGCGGAACTGAGGCACAGCGGATACTGTCCCCTTAACCTTGACCGTAAGCTGCCGCTTCTGTCTAGTCACGCCATGGCGAAGAGGATGCTGAAGCTGAATGGACATGAGGCAAAAGTCTGGGGCTCGAGTCGCAAAACAACTGACGCTGAGCGAGGCATCCCTTATGCTGATGAAAGCGAGCAAGTCTCCTACCGTGCAATGTTGCGATCCCGTAACAAGTTTTACCGATTGGTTGAGCTTGTCTGCAAGGCCTGCGAATTCACCTTCCGCTTTACCTTCGAAACGGATTTCGCGCCGGATGAGGTTTTCAAAAAAAAGCTGTTTGGACAATCACTGCAACGAGCGGAAATACGGCTCTGCGCCGCCCATGAGAAACCGATTCCTGTGAGAGAAAGTTTTTTCATTCCATAGACCTTCCAGGTCCGTTGGAAGTGTTAGTCCAGCTTTTGGAGATCAGCAAGGTAGCAGCGCAGATAACTGGAATTGTCCACCAACTTGGGCCAGCACTGCAGAGGGCTGCCAACACCATGCAAACCGAGCACAGGAAGATTTTCAACTACATCAAAAACCACTACGACGCTGTGTATACGACTATGCTTCTTGTTGCTTCGTTGAGACGCTGGTCCATAGGTAGTCATGCCCCAATACGTATCATCCAGATGAGTCAGAAAATTTTTGCAACATCAAACTTAATATATTGAAGGCCAGGCATGTAGTATTTGTAATGACCGCAAACTTCTTTCAATGGCTCCTCACTTCTCAGGATTACCTGGTTCGGGGGGAAGCGTCAGGATGAGAACCAGGAAGAGTACGAGCAGCGACTTTCGAACAAGTTGCAGGAGAACATTGAAACTCAGAAAAAGTGGCCGAAGTGGTCTGCGACCCCTCTGTGGGTCCGAGAAGTGGACGGCGAAACGGTTGATACCTACATAAGGCTGCAGTTGGAAAAGGAACGGTCTGCAGCGGTGCCGCCGAGCAAGCAGCAGGCACATAGCAGCAGTTCGTCCTCTGGGGACGCAAATGGCAGTTCCCGCGGTAGAGGTGCTAACTTCAACGCGACCCAAGGACAGCAGGCGCAAGTCCAAACTTCCGA